CTGAATGTTGTAGTTCTAGAAGTAGTATAAAAAAACTTGCAGTCATTGCTTTGGAGCAAAATGCAATCACTGAAATACAAAGAAAAATGATTACAATAGATAAATTGTCATGCAAACAGTGAGACTCCAAAAGGATATTGATCACCTCTGGTAAAAAATGTCGGTTCTTATTTATCTAGATTCTTTGAGTCAACATTTTTTCGTACATAACTTGCTTGATAAAATGAACGAAAAACGCTGGTTGTTGTCTTCGTATCTCCTTAAAGCCGTTCTTTTCGTATAGGGCCATGGCAGCATACTGGCCACTTGTTGTTTTAAGAGTCAGTTTTGTGTAGTTGTTGTCGTTGCAGAAGTGTTCAATGGCCTTTAATAATTTCGATGCTATTCCTCGTTTACGTATCGATGGGTTTACAGACATTCGAAGAACCTCCGCATGTCCTGGCTTGTGTTGGTCATTATGCAAAACACCAGCCATACCAACAATCGTTCCATTAAGAACGGCTACAAACATACACGAACCATCTTGATAAACTTTAGCAATGTCTTGTAAGTCATCAGATAAGGAGTGATAAATGAATCTCGTCATTGTGAAATATATATGAATGTAGACCAAAGCAGCTATGATTGAACATAAGCATAGAAGCACGATGACATCGCGCAATGACCACGTTAATGTTAAAGCAATAACGGGGACCAAGAACAGTGCACACTTTAGGTATCCCTTGACTTCGATCGCATACAGTGACGGGATTACCTCCATCATACCTCTGCGAAATAGTGTATGACACTCATATTTGTCATTTGGCTCAAAGGAACGCACCTCTACTTCCAACTTATCCATCTCAATCAAAAAATGTACTTAAAGTACAAATTCAAATCGGGTGGAATTATCTTCATCAGTTGTTTACAAATGGTACCCCTTGAGAGTTGACTGGGCCCTAGAATTTGGTCAGCTGAATGTATTGCCGGCTCAAGCTCAAGATGGCGGGAAGTCAAGAAAATGTGATACACATTTAGTCTTCTCAAATTAAATGATTACCTGAAAATGGCGGTGAGTTCTTGACTGATTATTAGTCCATCAGTAGCGTATGATCATCGTAACCTGATTTTCTAATTATAACAGGATATCAGGTCGTTTTTTAGTCCTAAGGGCCAAAAACAACAACACAGCTCGGGCAGCAATGGCGCGAAGAAGGAAATTCCAACAAATAAATCAAGAAATACGCAAGGAAATAAACGGTTGTCTAACTCCCCAGACCGTTCCAAGACGAAGGATAACAAAAAAGAAGAAAAGAAGAAAGCAGCAAAACGAGTAAAGTGCTTGCAAAATTGTTTGGTTTTCTATACACCTTAATCCAAAATGGCTGACTAGCCCTTGATGTCTCGTTTTCATGAAATTGTTCTTTTCTTTTAAAGTCACTCAAGCTCAAAGACAAAAGAATAATTTTATGAAAACGAGACATCAAGGGCTAGTCAGCCATTTTGGAATAATGTGTAT